TTCTGGGAAATGACTGAACCACTTTTGCTGAAACTTTCCAAAAAAAGTTCAGTTTGAGACCGAACAAACAGGAAATTTCAGCCCAAATGATTAAAGTTTGGCAATGTTATAAACAACTGAAATCAGCTGGATTAAGGCAAACTAGGGCCCAAGGAACATGGTTTTAGCCTTACTTGTGATGCCTGACTACTACCCAAGAGCCATCTGCTGAGGGTGTCGGGAGTCCCTCGTCTGTCCCTTTTTAGGCAGACTTGCCCTTCCCTTCCCCCAGTTCATCCCTCTGTCTTCAGGCAGGTTGAAGTCTGACTCAAAGGATATAAGTTTCAAGATTTTCTTCATATCTATGAGGCTAGAGACTTATTTTTCTAAATGAAGGAGAGCAACCTCTAAAGAGTGCTATCTACGCCTGCTCTGGAGCAGTATTGTGGGCATTTCTTGTGCAGGTAAGTGGTGAACAAGTCTATTGTTGGTGTTCCCCATCATCGGAACATGTCGAGGAGAATCACCGAATCCATCTCCCATTCACGGTTGTGTAGAAACTTGTGGCTGAAACTGTCTGTTTTCATGTTGTGCACTCCTGGTAGGTAGGCTGCTGATATTGTAACACTGTGGGAAATGCACCCCAAGTGCCCCCACAGTTTTACGGCTTCCGCACAAAGGGAGGGTGATCTGGTGCCCCCCTGACGATTTATGCAGTACACGCACGCTATGTTGTCCATCATGACCTTCGTGTGTGTGTATCTGATCAGTGGAAGGAAGTGAGAACGTGTTCCTAACCACTGTGAATTCGAGAAGGTTGATGTGAAGACACACTTTGGAGGGTGACCATTTGTTCTGTACTGTGAGGTGTTTGAGAAGCGCACCCCACCCTATGAGGGATGCGTCAGTGGTGAGGAGAAGTGACAGAGGAAGGTGTGCAAATGGGATCCCCGTGCTGACATCGGCCAGTTCAAGGATTGGTTTATCTTGGTGGGTAGCAATAGTGGTTTGTCCAGGCTGTCTTTATTCAGTTTGTAAACCGAGGTGAACCATGACTGGAGGCATTTTATAAGAAGTCTAGCATGAGCTATCACAAATGTGCCCGTGGCCCTGTGCCCTAGAAGATGAAGACAATGTCTGAACGATATTTGAGGGCTGGTTTGCAATGTCTCCATGAGAGTGGAGAGACTGAGGAATCTGTGTTCTGTAAGGAGCTCTCGCACTCTGACAGAGTCGAGATCAGCTCCTATGAATTCTAATATCTGTCAATTTTTGTATGTTGATTTGTAGGCCCAGGCTTGTGAATAAATCCATAGTCGTACGGGTAACCCGCTGAGTTTCGTCAAGAGAGCCTGCCCTGAGAAGACAATCGTCCAAGTAAGGATAGATCATGATCTAGGTGGGCTGCCACTATAGAGAGGACTTTGAGGAATACTCTGGGAGCCGATGAGAGGCCAAAGGGGAGTACTCTGTGTGGGTAGTGGTCCTGCTTTAGGGTAAATCTGAGATATTGTCTGTGGGATGGCAGGATTAAAATATTGAAATAAGCATCCTCGAGGTTGACGGCTGAAAACTAATCTCCCTGTTCCGATGCTGGAAAAAATCATTGCTAAAGTGACCATCTTGAATTTTTGAGGCTTGAGGAATTTGTTGAGTGCTCTGCAGTCTGGTATGGGTCTCCAACCTCCCTTTTTCTTGGGTAACAGGAAGTAATGAAAGTAAAAACCGTTGCTGTGTAGATGTTGAGGTACTGGTTCTATGGCTCCTACACTGAGGAGGTGGTCTATCTCTTGTTGTAACAGGCTCTCGTGAGAAGGGTCCCTAAAGAGGGATGGGGAAGGGAGTCGGGGGAAATGAGGAGAAATCGATTGAGTACCCGTCGCGAATATTCTCTAGCACCCATTTATCAGATATTATCCATTCCCAGGTGCTGCGGAACAGAGCAAGGAGACATGCATAGGAATGCGAATGCTCAGACAGCATTAGATGGTGTTGAAGGGAGTGGTCTGATGGCACCCAGCTAAACCCATCAAAACCGATGTTTTGAGGTGGATGGTTGGGAAGTAGGTTGTGGGCCCAATGGTTTGCGCATTTTGAGAACATCGATTTCTTCCTTTGTGGCTCATAGAAGTGTTGGGTTGAGTAGTGTGCCAAGCAAGATCTGAATGAAGGCTGAGGACTGTATTTTCTCTTCTGCCCAGATGTGTAAATTCTTAGCGACCAAAGAGTAGCCCTGGAATCTTTAAGTGTATGGAAGGAAGGATCCATCTTTTCTGCGAACAATTTTGTGCCCTTGAAGGGAAAGTCCTCCATGGTTGTCTGCACTTCCTTGGGGAAGCCCGATAAGTGTAGCCAAGAGGCTCGCTGCATCACAATGGCAGTGGAGATGGAACATACCGCCGTATCAGCTATGTCGAGCACTGATTAAAGTGTCATCTTGGCTACCAGTTCTCCTTTGTTGAAGATGGCTCTCAATAGATCTCTGTGAGATTCTGGAAGCTGTTCAATAAAGGAATTGAGTTTTGAGTAGTTGATTTTTTAGTATTTTGCCATTAAGGCCTGGTAATTTGTGATGTGGAATTGAAGCGTGGCGGAAGAATAAGCTTTTCTCCCAAATAGGTTGAGGTGTTTCCAAACCCTATTATAGGGGGTGGATTTCTGATGTTGTCGACCTCTGGAGTTTACCACATCCTCAATGATCGAATTAGGGGGTGGATGGGAGAAAATAAATTCTGTGTCCTTCACTGGTACATAATATTTCTTATCGGCCTGCTTACAGGTTGGCTGGGCCAATGCAGGTGTCTGCCATATAGTTTTGGCTGGGTCCAAGAGAGCCTTGTTGATGGGAAGAGCTACTCTTGAGGAGGAAGAGAAGTGCAGAATGTCCAGCAATTTATGGTGTGATTTTGTAACCTCCTGTAGTGGTAACTGCAGTGTGTCTGCCACTCTCTGAGCTAGGTCTTGAAAAAGTTTAAAGTCATCCGCTAATGATGGTGGAGGAGACATCACTGCCTCATCTGGTGAGGAAGATGAGATGTTAGTCTGAGGCATAACCTCTTCCTCAGTGTTGACCTCCTGTTCCTCCCTCATCTCTTCAGGAGGCTCTGGATACAAAGGCAGAGAGCGGGTGCCTCATAGGTTCTTGGTGGGCCATACTAGAACTTCGGGAGGCATGATGTCTATATGCCTGCCACGGATCCCAGTAAGGCCATTGATATGGTGGGAAGGTTCCCAGTGGTTGGTACCATGCTTGACCATACCAGGGAGGCTGAGGGTCAGATTGACGGTATGGCGAGGGAGGTCCAGATTGGTAATGGGCACAATAAGGTACTGAAAGGAGCGATGGGAGACTACCTCCTCCTGCTCATTATCTGACTCCCCACTGGAGACGGGGGCTGCACAGCCTGATGCCAAAGGGGAATCTGGAGCTCAAGGCAAACTTGGTACCAGGGCTCCGGTACTGAGTAGAGGAGACTCAGGTACATGAGACGCTGTGAGGTCTCTCGAGTATCTGAAGTCTTGTGGTGCCATAGATACCGGTACCGGTGGTGGTGGTTAATGCCGGGACAACTGTATTGATGGAGTTGGTCATGTAGTTTGGTTAAACGCTCCAACCGTGTTTGACATACGTTGACAGTACTGACGTCATCGTCTGCACCGATGGAATCTTCCCCAAGGCAAGGTCTTTGCCTCACCCAGTCAGTATTGATGTTTCTTTGCCTGTGGCCATCAGGTCCTTAGGCAATCCAACGTGCTCATTGGGACGGCTTCAGTGCCATCAGTACCAATGATACTGAACAAGTTGGTGATCTTTTTAGGCTGGTTCAGGGTTCGCTCTGAGGACTCTCTTTTTAGAAGCCTTGTGTGAATGGCTGATTGTTGCCTTTTTAGGCTCACTTCCTTTGGATATAGAGGGCTGTGGTGAATCTTGATGTGGGTCTTAAGGCGGTTGGAGAGCTGCTTCCATTAGAAGGCGGTTAAAGCCTCAGCTCTCTGTCCTTTTGGGACCAAGGTTTCAACTGTGGCATAAACCACACTTCTGGGGAACATGGTTCTCCAGGAGGCAATGCTCCACACAATGCAAATGTCCGTCCATCACCAGGATGGCTTCTTTGCAGTTGAGACACCTCTCAAAGCCTGGTGAACTGGGCATACCCTGTACTGGGATGGTCCACGGACAAGGGAAAGAGGAAGAGGTGAGTAAAAATTGAAATTAAAATTAAAAACATTCTTTTAAAAAAATTTTTAAAGGAACAAAAGGAAAAACTCAAAGCAAACTAAGTAATAGTCAGAAAAGAAACTAAAAGGAATGATGAACAAGTATTTAGAGAGTTAACAATCTGATAGACAGCTAAAAGTTCTGTCTCTGGCCATGGGCAGTTGAGAAGGAACTGAAGAGGGTTTGCCCACGCAATGCTGGCTAGACTTGTGGCAGAGCACAAGGAGGGGGACAGCTCATGTGCGGGCCGAACTGGCATTGCTACCAAGTTCTCTGATCAGCAGCGCAGGGACGCAAAAACACCTACAGTGGAGCACCCATAGGGACACAACTTGAGGAAGAATTAGTTATTTTTGGGTGCCCAATTTGTGACACCCTCCAGGGACCTGATTTTCAGGTGGCAGGTGCTCAGCACTTTCTGTTTCAAGTTGGGCAGCCAAAAATCACAGTTGCTTTTGACAGTCTTGGGCCAATGTTTCTATAACCCAAAGAACTGACACACCCAAAACCTAACTTTTAACCTTGTTTTCTAGCATCAACTCATTACTTAGCTAACACGATGGCCTGATAACAGTTTTGTTGTTCAGTGAATTATGGTCACACTGATCATATCTTAATATTGCATAGTTTTCTTCCAAATCCTTGTCTGTTACAGTATCAAGTTATGACTACAAAGCAAGATTACTTCAGTGAATGGATATAGTAAAAAAGCACCCTCCGTATCTATGCTTATGTTCAGAGTGAATCTCTCAGCTCCCTCAAACACTTTATGACACCTTTCCAATTAATCTCTCACACAAACCTGGCTGTTCTGCCTGCTTCTCAAACCTCTTCTTTTCTTCTCTCATTTTGTCCTCTGGATTAACAGGATTCCCAGATTCATCCCGAGGGATTATCTTCCCATGGAAAGGGCACTGAGGGAAGAAAAAAATGACACGAGTTAGAGAATAAACATTTCCATGTAATCTCATGTTGCTAGTAGTCAATTCTTGGAATTAAATGATACACTTTGTACTGGCATATTGGACCGGATTATGAGCACCTCTTATGAGGTGCTGAGAGCCCTAAATTGCCACTGAAACCATAAACAGACTTAAGTAGGAGTTAAAGGCACTCACAGCCTCACAGGATTGAGCCCTTAATGAAATGAACTCCGAGTATAACGGCAATAAATAAAAGGCCTTTTTACAGATAGAATGCTGCCCTGTCATCTCTGGAACCAGGGTTTTCATTCTGCATTTGTATTTTTAAAGCTAAATCCCTTAACATGTAGGAATTCCATTTTAAGTATTTCAATATTCCCTTTAATAATGGCAAACACAGTAAGAACTGTAATAGTCAAGCAAAATGTTTAATGTTAAGGAAACATTGTTCAAATTTATCCAATAATTTAAGTTTTGTAAAATTATGCTTTTATAAAAAAACCTAATCTCTCATAAAAGCCCATCTCTTTGCTGTCCCCTCAACCATAAGGATTATAATGTTTTGAAAAAGCCACTAATGTCAAACACACTTCTGCACTGAATGAGGAGAAGGAAGAACCACCCAGCAAACAATTACTGGGCACTGTTTCCTTGTCAGATGCTCAGATACTACAGTAATGAGCATGGTATAAATACCTAGTTAAGTGAAATTATGATATTAAGTGCACACCTTAACCCTATCCTGTCTTTCACATAGTCTCCCGTCAGGCATCGGAGCTCGACATCTATGTTTCACCGGTTCAAACTTGCCAGAAAAAGTTATGCATCTACTTTTCAACATTTCGGCTACTTCTTTGTTTTCCACCTCTTCCTCCATTTCATTGGGTGCCCAAAATCGATGTTGAGAAGAAAATCTGGCAAAATAAAGAACACAGATATACCTTTTCGCCCATAAACGAAGTTTTGTACTTACTGTGAACGGATACAACCCCACGGGAATCAGCTGGGTAAGAACTGGGCTCAGTAGGCAGAAGAGCACTTAAAAAACACATGCATATTAGTCTTTAACAACAATTTCTCTCAGAAAAAAATTAAGCTTCTTACAAGCTGGTAGGCTGTTAAAATTTTCCCTCCTGGTAGACACAGAGATATATTAATGAATTATAATAATCTAGGGCTCTACAACTAGTGATAACTGCAATATTGTGTAGACATGCTTAAAATGTTCTGGAAGCTTGACTGACTGGTGTCCTTCATTTCCAAACAACTTGTCTTCCCCAATTTCCCATTTAATATTATCACCTTACACCCAGTGGCGGATTAGCCACTAGGCCACTGGGGCACACCCGCACCCTGACCCTGCTCCCTGGCAGGAGCGCTGGGGGGACGAGGGGGACTGCAGGCGGAAGGGGTGGGGAGGGGCCCCCTTGCTCTGGCTCACGGCCCCATAAACCCCTAATCCGCCTCTGCCCACCATTGTAATTACAGTTGCGAATTGGCTTTAGAAGTCAAAGTGGGCCAAAAACTGCTTAAAATAAATAATGCCATGGTCAACACTAACCTTATCTCGATAACCTTACTGTGTAGCAGATGAGGTAAAATAAAGTAAGACAAACAGTTAAGCTACTGTTCAGTGTATGCTCTCATGCTTGTTTGTTTTGCTCTTTATTAGCAGCAAAGGAGCAGGGGTTGGAGTGACTGCAGTATACTGTAGACTAGGGAATAGAGCCAACTATCAACTGAACTTTGTAGCAATTTTTCTTCTAGGTTCAATAGCTAACTCTTCGTTTTGACACTGCTATCAGCTAACAAGTATTTACAGGAAGTTTCTCGAGGAAATTAAAAGCAATATACTGAAAACTTATTTTAAAACTAGAGAGATCTCATGAAAAATAGTCATTGTATGAAAAGCAGAACTATTTCCAGGCCAAAAAAACCCCAACAACCCCTACCCCAAAACCCCTTTATTACCCTGGAGCAAAGGCAGTAAACATCTATTACTTAAGGAGGGGGAGGACCTACGTGTTGAATGATGTTCTATTCTCAAAAACCACAAAATATTAGAAAGTCTGGAAAAGCAGTTTTAAGGCAATGTCTTAAAAAGACAGAAATATGCAGTTCAGTTAGGGTGACCAGATAGCAATTGTGAGAAATCGGGTCAGAAGGTGGGGGGTAATAGGAGCCCATATAAAAAAAAGTCCCAAATATTGGGACTGTCCCTATAAAATCGGGACATCTGGTCACCCTAAGTTCAGTGATCCCAAAGAACCTTCACTCTGCTCACAACTCCCACATCCATCACACCTTGCATACAAGATGGAAATATTTGAATGAAGGAGGTCTTGATAAGGAATTTATGTACATATTGGGCAGCCAAGGACTTTTTACATCCACTTTATTTGTGCATTTGTAGTCACCTCCACGTGGTTCTCTCCTTCCCAATCACTCCCATAACTGGCCTCTGAGTGGCTCTGTCTCCCTCCATCCTATTCCTCCCACTCATGTGGTTCCCTGTCTGTCACTCCCCAGCAATGAAGCCCTCTTCACTTGGTAGACTCCATATAGTCTAATATATGAGGAAGTCACTTTTATTAACAACTAAGGTCTCAACTCAGAAAGACACTTATGCAAGTCCTTAAGTTTCACTGAAGTCAATGTGCTTAAGTGTTTTGAACTGGGCCCCAAATGAGTCCTCCCTAACAAACATTAGAACAAATTTGGAGGACTTGAAGTTGATCTCATACCAGCTTTCAACTTCGCTGGTTACAGTGGAGTTACTCCCTAATTACACTAGCATAAGTGAGATTAGAATTAAGCTCAGCGTTTCTAGGCTAAAAATTATTTTACAGTTGTGGTGAAACTTAATTTTTAAATCTTCCTATCTTATCAACTCCTCATAAAAGTTGCCTCATATGTTTCAGAAACATTCTATCGAGGCATATAACAATTGGATTCGTTTAATTGTGGCAATATTAGGGGGATGAATCCAAATCAGTTTTACAATGCAAGACTAGCTTCAACATTCACTGTAGTAAGACTTGGAGGAGAGGAAGGTGATCAGGAACGGTCAACATGGATTCACCAAGGGCAAGTCATGCCTGACCAACCTGATTGCCTTCTATGATGAGATAACTGGCTCTGTGGATATGGGGAAAGCGGTGGACGTGATATATCTTGACTTTAGCAAAGCTTTTGATACAGTCTCCCACAGTATTCTTGCCAGCAAGTTAAAGAAGTATGGATTGGATGAATGGACTATAAGGTGGATAGAAAGCTGGCTAGATCATCGGGCTCAACGGGTAGTGATCAACAGCTAGATGTCTAGTTGGCAGCCGGTATCAAGCGGAGTGTCCCATGGGTCGGTTCTGGGGTCGGTTTTGTTCAACATCTTCATTAATGATCTGGATGATGGGATGGATTGCACCCTCAGCAAGTTCGCAGCTGACACTAAACTGGGGGGAGAGGTAGATATGCTGGAGGGTATAGGGTCCAGGCTGATCTAGACAAATTGGAGGATTGGGCCAAAAGAAATCTGATGAGGTTTAACAAGGACAAGTGCATAGTCCTGCATTTAGGACGGAAGAATCCCATGTACTGCTACAGGCAGGGGACCGACTGGCTAAGCGGCAGTTCTACAGAAAAGGACCTGGGGATTACAGTGGACGAGAAGCTGGATATGAGTCAACAGCATGCCCTTGTTGCCAAGAAGGCTAATGGCATATTGGGCTGCATTAGTAGGAGCACTGCCAGCAGATCAAGGGAAGTGATTATTCCCTTCTATTTGGCACTGGTGAGGCCACATCTGGAGTACTGCGTCCAGTTTTGGGCTCCCCACTACAGAAAGGATGTGGACAAATTGGAGAGAGTCCAGTGGAGGGCAACAAAACTGATCAGGGGGCTGGGGCATATGACTTACAAGGAGAGGCTGAGGGAACTGGGCTTATTTAGTCTGCAGAACAGAAGGGCGGGGCGGGGGGGGATTTGATAGCAGCCTTCAACTACCTGAAGTGAGGTTCCAAAGAGGATGGAGCTAGGCTGTTCTCAGTGGTCGCAGGTGACAGAACAAGGAGCAATGGTCTCAAGATGCAGTGTGCGAGGTCTAGTTTGGATATTAGGAAACACTATTTCACTAGGAGGGTGGTGAAGCATGAATGGGTTACCTAGGGAAGTGGTGGAAGCTCCATCCTTAGAGGTTTTTAAGGCCCAGCTTGACAAAGCCCTGGCTGGGATAATTTAGTTGAGGTTGGTCCTGCTTTGAGCAGGGGGTTGGACTAGATGACCTCCTGAGCTGTCTTCGAACCCTAATCTTCTATGATTCTATGCATCTCGTAATTTACGACAAAAATGTCTTTATACTCTCACTGTTAAAAAACCATTCCAAGAAAAGACCCTTTACAATATATAAATAAATATTTTAGTGAGACTCTTGAAAAATAAAGTATTTTTTAGTTTTACAAATGATGTAGTGGGGCTGTAAAGTGATGGATAATAAAAGACAGTAAGTTTGATTCATTCTGCTGTGCTTGATTTTTTTTTTTTAAATTCCCTAAAATAGGACTGACTTCAAGCTCTGTATCAACCGTTTTATAAAGACACAATGAAGTGACAGGATCCCTAAAAAAAGCATACTAATATTTTAGATTGCTACACACAAAGTAGCCTTACATAAACTTGCAGTAAAATTCTAATGCCCCCTGGTGGTCTGATTTTTTTCTAAAATTATCAAATATTTGTATTCATGCTAGAGTGAAGAGGTAATCATGATATGCATATGGTCCAACTTTCCCTATACGAGAGACAGCCTCATTTGATATTTTAACTTGACCCCTCCAAAAACAAAATCTGTATCCAGTATTTTTCAATGTAACAAAACTGTTGTCTTCCTCTTTGTAGCTTTCCTTAAGATGCCTGGTACGTTTTAGGGAGTTGAGCTTAAATAACGGACTGACGTCTGCATAGCCATAAGCACTTCCATTTACTATGCCCTTATAAACCATTTTCCCCCTCAACTCTTTCACAACTATATTTGCAGGCAAGTGAGAAAAGAACAAAGGAATGTTGAAAACTAGGGGTATTTTGTTTAGATGCATGTTCCCTATGCAGTAAATGAAGGTGGTGGATTTCTAATTTTTTTTTTTTTTTTTTGGTTGTGTATAACTTTGTAGGATAGAAGTCCTTTAATGGACCACCTGGATGCTCAATTCCAATTGACCATCATCTCTGCAAATGCTTGGCTACATGAATAATTAATATTAGGAGAATCTTTTCCATCTTCTCTCTTTAGCAAACTCACCTCAGTGCAAAGGGGGCAGCCACCTGGCTATGTCCACTCCCATCCTATTTTGTAGTTGTGCTCTTTACTTCCCTTTTTTTTTTTTAATAGCAAATCTCTCCTCACTGCCTGCAGCCCCTTCTGCCCCCACTTCTCAAGATTACTTGGCAGTTTTGGTTCTGTCTGCCTGTGTTTCTGCTACCCTTCCAATTTTGATGTTGCCAGCAAGTTTGATCATAGTTAGATTTATATGACAAACTAAACATATTAGAAGAACTAGGCCTCAGTCTAACAAAACATTTAAGCATGTTAATAGTCCCATTGACTTCACTGGGATTGCTCATTTGCATGAAATTTAGCACACATTTACTCAAGTGCTTTTGTTGGATTGCAGCCGTCATTTCCTGTGCAACAACCCAAGCAAGCAGAGGAATCTAAAGGGAACTCTGCTTGAAAATGGATGCATGTGACTAGTGAAATTTTCTAAGGCAGTGGGGATCACCAGTGGAATGAAAGCAGCCACATGGACCACCTGTTGTTCTGTTCGTAACTGTTGTTCTTCAAGATGTGTTGTTCACATCCATTCCAATCAGGTGTGCACGTGCGCCCGTGCACGGTAGTCAGAAGATTTTTCCCCTAGCA